CCGCCCCCCCCCCCCCCCCCACCGCCTACGACCAAAGAAATGATCTCGGGGTGGGGGGGCCAGGAGCCGCCCCGACCGGCGGGGGGACTCGCGGGGGGACGCGTTGCTTGGCGCTGGGGCAAGGGCAGGCATCGGGTATCCCCCCGGCTCCTCTCCGGAGCGCGTGGGGGGCTTTGTCGCCCCCCGCCCCAAGCATACACTGGTCTGACCAGGCTGGCTGGGCCTCGTGGGCCTGACACTTCCCGCTCCGCGCTCCAGATGCGGCCCAGGCGCCTCCGGAAGAGAAGCCGGCGAAGGTCAGGAAGCCCAAGGCCAAGGGCAAGAAAGCCCGGCTCATCGTGCGTAACCTCAGCTTCAAGGTGAGCAAGAGCCTGGCTTCCTCCCTCCGCCGGGCTGGGCGCAGTCCAGCCCTGCCCGTCGCGGCTGCTCCAGGTGACCGGTGGTGGCTTTTGTGGGGGGCAGGAAGGAGCTTGGGGATGAGGCGGGACCCGCAGCCGCCTCCGGGCTCTGTCTTTCTCTGCCCCGGAGAGTTGGCGATGCCGGGAAGGCGGGTCTGGGGCAGGGGCAGCGGCGGTGGGCATCAATCCCTGCAGCTTTGACCAGGCTTGGTCGCTGCCTTCTCGGCGCACAGCCCTTCAGACCTCGTTCCTTCCCCGCCAGGGCTGGGGGTGCAGGGAGCCTGGCACCATGTGGGCATGGACCCTCTCCCTGGCTGTGCCCCTGCATTGGGGTGGGGGGTGTTTCCAGCTCTGCTCCTACCCCGGCTTGTCCGTCAGCCCGCGCCTCCCCTCTCCCTAGTGCTCCGAAGACGATCTCCGCGCCCTCTTCTCTGCCTTCGGCACCGTCCTGGAGGTGAACATCCCCCGGAAGCCAGGTGCGGGTGCTAGCCGTGGGGCGGGGAGGGGGCTGGGCTCTCTTGGGGTGGGAGCTGCTGTCCTGGCTGGGTTCGTGCTCCATAAGCCCGCCAGTTCTCCCTGCCGTGGACTCCCTGCCATGGACTGCAGGCTGTGCCTGGGCTCCAGCTAGGACCAGACAAGCTGCGGGGCACGGGCCAATCCAGGCGGGATGAGGGGATAAGACCTTGGGCCCAGGGTTTCCCTGCTGGTAAAAGGGGCTGGGTCTCTCCACTCATGCCCCGGTCCTAATATTTATTCTCTGGAGCATCTGTGGATGGGGATGGACCAGACATCCCAGCCCGGCAGACGCCTGGCACACTCTGAGCCCTCCCTTGGTGCCCTTGCAGATGGGAAGATGCGGGGCTTCGGCTTCGTGCAGTTGCGGACCGTGCTGGAGGCAGGCAAGGCCTTGAAGGCCACCAACATGACGCAGATCAAAGGTGGGGCCCTGCCCTGCTCCCTCCACACCGCCCTGGGGACCCTCCCTGCCTCGGCCTGTAGCTGCCGGGAGCTGGTGCTTTGCCAGCCGTGGTCTCTGCTGGGGAATGTCCCCGCCAGGGACCCAGGGCTTTGCTCCTCCTTCGTTCCCTCCTTGGGGGCCATTCGGTTAGCCCTTCTGCCCCCCACGCCAGGGCTCTATTCATCAGCCCTGGCAGGCAGGATCTTTCCTTGGATGAGGGAGGATGGGGGCATGTTTACAACTATCCAACTGTTCCCTTTGCTAAGCCCGGCTCCCCATGTGGCCCATGTCAGGTCCAGCCATGGCCCCTGGGCACTGGCTGTCACCGTCCCCAGCTCCCCAGGTGGCTCAGCTTGTCCCCAGTACCACGCGCTTCCTCAGGTCCCCACAGCCCTTCTGGTCTCTTGCAGGGCGGCCAGTGGCCGTGGACTGGGCCGTGGGCAGGGAGAAGTACAGAGCTACACAGGCAGTGGCACCTCCCCCTGGTGAGTGGCCGCAGTGGCTGGGGCTGCTGGGTGGGGAGTGAGACTCCAGCCTGGTGGGGGCTCAGCCCTGACTGTCGGTGATGAGGACGTGGCCATGGCCCCCAGGAGGCAGCCATGGCTGGGGTGGAGCTTGCAGTGCCAGGACCTGCCTGGGCTGGGGGCAGAGGGTGATCAGATGCCAGATGGAGCTGGACGCCTGCTCAGGCACTGGGTTTCAGGAAGGGGAAGGTGGGGGGTGGCTTGGGACACCTGGGTTCCTTCTTGCCGCCATGATGCCAGGTGTGTGGCTCGGAGCTGAGGGGCTTAGCAGTGGAGAGAGGGGCAGGCCCCTGGGGCAAACAAGGTGTGCCCGGGGCTGCCCCCTCCCCTCTCTGCTCAGCTCCAGGGACCCTGCGCTGTTGCAGGCAGCTTGGAGGTGAAAGCCAGCATGGCCCCGGGACAGGAGGGGGGCTCAGAGGATGCCAGCGAGGAGGAGGAGGAGGAAGATGAGGACGAAGCCGCGAACCCAGAGCAGTCACCCAGCACACAGGGGCAGTGAGTGACGGGGACCCATCAGCTGTGCCCGTGTGGACTGGCCGGCTCCTCCAGCATTGCCCTGGGGAGGGAGGGACATGGCTCGGGGTTTGGAGCAGGGTACCTGGGACCCACCAGCTTGGTGCTGGTGCCTGGCGCTTGACCCAGTCACGGAGCAGGCAGGGGACTCCAGGCTGGGACTTGCTCTTGCAGGCTTGCCCAGGCTGACAGCAGCGAGGAGGATGAGGACAAAGGCTCGGACGGGAGCACCCTTGAGGAGGAGGAGGAGGAGGAAGAGGACAGCGAGGATGAGGAAGGTCAGTTCCATCTCCCCATGGCCCTGGCTGCAGATGTGGGGAGGAAGCCAGGGGCTGCAGGGTCTTGCAGAAGCCTGGCCTGCCTCAAACTGGGCCTGGGCAACCCCGGCCCTGGTGCCTGCCTGGTCCCTGCCTCACGGGGCAGCAGGCCATGTGGGGGCTGCTCTCAGCTGTGACCTGCCAGTGGCGCCAGCCTGAGACCCTGGTGGGTGCCATGGGGCCGAGAGCAGCCCTGGTGCCAGTTGATGGGGGCTGGGCCTGGCATTGCACAGGCCCAGGCCAGTGCGTGTCCCTTCCCCACCTCTTCCTGAGAATGGGGGGGAGGAGGGCTGGGGGGCATCAGTTCTTTTCCCCATGAGCTACAGGCTCCAAGTCCCGGAGACTCCCAAGCCTCCATGTCTGCCCTCCACTGGTGCCCCCTTCCCTGGGCTCCAATGATTGTGGGGGTCGCTGCTCCCCTCCTCCCAGGGAGCTCAGCCCTGCAGTCCCCTGCCTGGGGCCCTGTTCTCTGCACCCTGCAGTCCTAGAGCCACGCGCCTGGCAGGGAGCTCTGGGGTCATATTCAGTCCCAGCCCTACCTGAGGCAGGATCAGCCCTGTCCAAACAAGCCCAGACAAACCCCATGCCTGACCTTGGAGCCACATGACACAGTTGCCCCTGACAGCCCTAGGCATTGCCCCCACCCCTGCCCCCAGGAAAGTAAGGGCCATGGCCGCCAACGTGCTGCTGCTGCCAGGGGGGTCGTGTGCTGCAGAGAGCCCAGGCCCAGTCCATGCCCCCACTGCAGAGGAAGGCAAAACCCCCCCAGTGCCACCAGTCTGAGCAGGGAGGAAATCCCTTTCTGCCCCAGTGCAGCGTGGGGCTGGGCCTGAGCTCAGGAGCAAGACCCTCCAGCCAGGACCCTGCGAGGTGGGTGCAGCAGGAGCATTGGCACAGCCTAGTCCCATCTCCAGCCTGGGCTGCAGCAGCATCTGTGGGAAGCTTAAAACCCCTGACACATGGAGAGGACGCAGCAGGGGAACCAGCACAGCCCAGCCCAGAATCCCGGGACACCCACAGCATCACTGCACCTAGGTCCTCCCGCTCATTGCCCGTCCCCCATTCCCTGGCACCCCAGTGTTAGAGAGTCCCCCCTGCCCTGGGTGTTTATCCCACGGCCTCCCTGCTCTGGGTTCCCAGCAAGGGCGAGGGGTGATAGCCACTGACCCCATGGCCAGGCCCTGCTGACCTTGCCGGTTGCCGGCCATCTTGCAGGTGACACCACGACCAAGAAGGGCAAAAAAGGCAGGAAGCTGCCGTCAGACGTGGCCGAGGGCAAGACGGTCTTTATCAGGTGGGCTGGGTGTGGGGCTGGTGTTCCTGGGAAGAGGGAGGGGGGTCCACATCTCTGCCCCTGCCTCTTACTCAGCCCCTGTGAGCAGAGTAGGGGGTAGTGGTGGGTCTCTTGGGGTTGGTCCTGGCCTCTGCCAGGGATGGGGGCTGTGACGCTGCCTGTAAGGCTGCCCCCCACCCACCCAGGCAGGAGCGTGCTGCTTCCCTTCTCCCCCCAGCCCCTGGCCCGGGCACAGCCTGGGGGCGGGTGGGTCTTGGGGCTGGGATGGGTGGATTGAAGCGGGGCGGCGTCTGCAGCAGGGCCCCTAACGCTGCCCCCCTCCCCCTGGCAGGAACCTGTCATTCGACACGGAGGAGGAGGACCTGGGCGCGCTGCTGGAGCCCTTTGGGGAGCTGCAGTACGTGCGCCTGGTGCTGCACCCCGACACCGAGCACTCCAAAGGTGAGGCCAGACCCCCTCCCCCTGCCCGAGGAAGAGATGGGGAAGGGGCTTGCCCTGAGCTCCCCCTGCCCTAGGCCAAGCCCCCACCCAGGCACCTCTGACATCGGCGTTGCTCATGGCTCCCACCAGGGCCTGGGCAGGGGGTTGAGGCACCACCCCCACCACCAGCTCCCCGTCAGCCCCAGACCCCGTCTCTTGGCTCTGGACCTTCTCCCTTGGAAGAAGGCCTGAAGTTGGATCCCTGGAGCACTCACCGCCCAGGCAGGGGCTGACTGCTGGGGGCTTGGAGGGGCCTCTGCTCCCCTGGGCAGTCCCTGGAGCCGGGCGGAGGTGGCGCAGAGCTCATGTCTGACCCCTCCCAGCCCTGGCATGGGATCTGATGGGGACTCAGCCATGGCATTGACCTCCCTCCTGCATCTAGGCTGTGCCTTTGCCCAGTTCCTGACACAAGAGGCTGCCCAGAAGTGCCTCCAGGCTGCTCAGGATGAGAGTGAGGTGAGCTGGGCGGGGGTGGTCCTGGAGGTAGAGGGGGGCACTGAGTAGGCAGAAGTCCTTGGCTAACGTGTTTCTGGGGTGCCCCCAAAGAGCTCCAGGGAGTCGGGGGGACAGTTTGAGCCCGTCGGAGCCCCCAAAGGAAGGGGTAGTGTCTCCCTGCAAGGGCCCAGATCCCCGGGGCAGAGTCTCATCGCCGCCCATTGTCCACAGGCCGGGGGGCTGCGGCTGGACGGACGCCGGCTGCGTGTGGACCTGGCCGTGACCCGCGAGGAGGCGCAGAAGCTGCGGGAGCAGAAGGTGAAGAAGCCGACGGGGACCCGCAACCTGTACCTCGCCCGTGAAGGCTGTGAGTGAACTCCCCTGCCCCGGCTGCCAGGGCCCTGTGAGCCCCTTGCTTGTCCCTAGAGTCTCCCCACTGCCCCTGGGGGTGGTTACAATGGGCTCCTTGTATCTCCCTCAGGTGTGAGCTATCCCCTGGCTTGGGTGGGGGGGCATTAACCCTTCCAGGACCAGCTCTGTGCCCCCCACACTGCTTCTGTGTTGCCCCGGTAAAGGAGGGAGCAGCGTCCCACAGGTCCTGGGGAGTCTGATCGGTGCTGGGGTTCGGTCTGTCTGGGGCCTGGCAGGGCAGGTCAATACCCTCCCCATAGGGCCACGGCATGGGCTCAGGCTAAGGTCCCACGCCATGGAGGGGAGGGGGGTCACAGGGGCCCTGAGTGCTGGGGTAGCTGGCACGAGGAAGGCGGTGAGTATTGGGGGGCAACTGGGGCAGACCTTTGTCTCCTGGTGTCTCTGCTCAGCCCGGGGGGAGCCCTCACACCGTATCCGTTCCCCGCAGTGATCCGGGCGGGCACCAAGGCTGCCGAGGGCGTGAGCGACACCGACCTGGCCAAGAGAGCACGGGTGAGCGGGCAAAGGGGCACTGAGCAGACAGTGGGGTTTTACCCAGGGGGAGGCGCACTGATGGGGGTGACATGGGGTAACACTGCGTCCCTGCCGGGACGGGGCCTCTGGCTCTGGGGGGGTGGCACTGGCTGGTGGCGCAGGAGGCCTTGCCCGCCCCCCACCCCAGTTCACGGAGCTGAAGTACCAGAAGCTGAAAGACCAGAACATCTTTGTGTCCTGCACCCGCCTCTGCCTGCACAACCTGCCCAAAGCCCTGGACGACCAGGAGCTGCGACGCCTCCTGCTTCAAGCTGCTGGCGGGGGCCGAGGCGTGCGCCTCAAGGAGGTCAGTGCTGCCCCCACTCCCACCACCCTAGGAGACAGCCCCTGCTTGGGCTCAGACCTGCATCCCGGTGGGCATCCGGTGTCGTGGGGAACTGCAGGGGGGGATCCCAGAGCCCGTGCAACAGCTCGAATGTGGGCTCGATCTCAGTGGGGTTCATGCTCCAGCCTGGGAGATCTCTGGCTACCTAGCACAAGGTATCTGGGGTGTGAGCCCTGGGGCAAGTGAGGGCTCCAGGGGGCTGGGCACGCGCATCCCGGCATGGCTGAGGTCGGGTCTGGGCGGCCTGGCCCCACCGGCACTATCTCGGCAGTGCCGGGTGATGCGGGACTTGAAGGCGCGGACAGGCCAGGGCCGGGCACCGTCGCTGGGCTACGCCTTTGCTGAGTTCACAGAGCACGAGCACGCACTGGCCGCCCTGCGCCACACCAACAACAACCCCCAGCTCTTCGGGCCCAACAAGGTAGGTGCCAGGGGGTGGGGGGAGCTCTGGGCACCAGACTGGTATGCATGTCTGTGCCCCTCCCCGTGGCTCTGGGAGGGGGCAACTAGCAGCTCCACATGCTGGGGGTGAGAGTACAAGCTGTCCTGCTCCCTTCCCTCCTTTTCTCCGGGGCTGGGGGGTCCCTTGCTCTCTGGGCTGGCACCTCCCCGACCCCTCCCCAGCTGGCGGGGAGCTCTGGGGAGTTTGCTTGGGTAGCTCTTGATCTCCTGTCCCCTGTAGAGACCCATCGTGGAGTTCTCCCTGGAAGACCGCCGGAAGCTGAAGCTGAAAGAGCAGCGTACCCAGCGCAGCCTGGTATGACCCCATCCCATGGTCCCTCTGGGCAGAGCCCACACCCCTGTGACCCTGGCAGCAGCGCCAAGCTCCTCCACCCAGCCTTTGTTCTGTGCCCTGCACCACATGCCCCCCATCACTGGGGGTGTTGTGTGGATTCATGCCATGCCCCTCTCTATGGCACTGAGCTCCGAACTCAGGCCCTGTCTCTGGGGGAGTGCAGGGGTGCTCGAGCTGGGCCCTGAGATGTGGCCGTGGCTCCTAACATTGCAGGTGACCTGCATGGAGGGGGGTCCTGGGCTTGCCTCGCATCTCTTGTAGGGGTTGCCAACGGGCTCTGCAGCCAGCGATCTCTTGTTTCATGCAGCAAAAGTTGCAACAGCAGCAACAGGCGGCCAAGGCAGCCGGCCCAGCCGCCCCACCGCACAGCCCCCAGGGGCACAAGGGCCGCAGGAGGCAGGCAGAGGTGCCAACAGCCGGGCAGCCAGCCCCCCCAGGGCAGAAGAAGCCCACCAAAGGCCCCAGGGGGCAGAAGGGCACCGGAGGGCTGGAGGCTGCGGCCTCGTGGTCGGGCTTCCAGACCAAGGCAGAGGTGGAGCAAGTGGAGCTGCCCGACGGCAGGAAGCGTCGCAAGGTGCTGGCACTGCCTTCTCACCGGGGGCCCAAGATCAGGTAGGAGACACCCACCTCTCCGTGGTTGGGGGGTCTCATGGTGGTCGGGGGGGTCTTTTGCTGCCCCCCCACAAGCCCTGCTCCCGTAGGACTCGGGCAGGGTGGGGCTGAGAGGGGGCAGCTACCCTTGGGGGAAGTGGGGGGTAGGGTGGCTATGGGGAGGCCCTCCTGGAGGTGCTCGTGCATCCCCACCCCCCCAAATGTTGCTCATACCTTGGTTCCCCACCCCCAGGAAGCGCGACAAGGGCAAGACCAAGCTACCACCTGCCAAGAAGCCCAAGGCCAAGGCTGGCCCGCGGCCCCTGGAGAAACCCAAGGTGGTGGCTGCCAAGCAGGTGAGGGAGCAGGGGAGGGGAGGGGGCTCCGGCCTGGGTCCCTCCTTGCTCCTGCAGAGACTCAAGCCGGGCCTGTCACCATCTGGGACCCTGGGAGTGCTCTTGGTTGGAGTTACCCAGCTCCCCTACCCTTCCCAACCCCAGCATAGCCTTGCCAGCTCCGTCACGTGCATGTGCATGCTCTCAGCCCAGTGCCAGGCCTGTGCCATCCTGGTCCCTGGCTCAGGTAGGTAGAGGTACATGGCTCAGGCAGCCTCCTGTTGCTCCCCCACCCCCGGCAGGGCCGGGCAGTGCAACCTGCCTGTGCTGCGTGTCCCTCCCCAGAAGCAGGCGCACCATGCAGGGGGTCCTGGTATCTGACCCACGTGACCTGCCCACCCTCACTCCCCAGGCTTGTAGTGCCCCCCCCCCAACCCATACGTGCTGCGACACTGAGCCAGGCCCCTCTCCCTGTGCCCCCACAGCAGGCAGCGGGGAAGCAGCGGCGGCCGGCGGGGGGCCAGGCCGAGGCCCGCTTCGAGCAGCTGGTGGAGCAATACAAAAGGAAGATCCTGGGGGGCCCCCGCGGCACCCCCAAGCGCAGCAAGTGGTTCGAGAGCTGAGACCCTTGGGGTTGGGGGGTGGGGCAGGGGGGCTTTTGGTCTTGTTTATTTAATCTGGTTTTTAATGGACTTGATTTTTACCCTGCGAAGCCTCCTGTGTCCTGGCCCCTTGGGCATGGGACTGATGTGGCCCCCCTGCCCCCAGGCTGCTGGGCTCTGGGGCAGCCATGGGGCCTTAGCATTGACCCCCCTGACCCGGGTTGGGGGCGGGGGGAGAAGGGACCCTGGGGGCTCTGCAGGAGGGCCCCTGCAGCACTCCCCTAGCCCCTGCCCTGCCTCACTGGCATCAGGGCTGCTTCCCCAGGCACATCCAGCAGGGGGTGCTCATGCCACAGCCCACGGACCTTGCCCCCCCCCCGGTCTCTGATTGGGCAGGTGGACTGTGCGCCACGGGGGCCCAATTCTGATTGGTGGAGCAGCGAGCTTTCTCCTGACCCTGCCACCAGTGGCTGTGGCCTGCAGGCAGCGTGGCCCCGTGTGTAGCCCGTGTGCTGGCGGGGGGCTGTTCTACCTCCACCCCCCCCATTGGGCTGGAGGCGTGGGGGTGCTCAGAGTCCCCTCCATGTGCATTTGAATAGAGGGGTCTGGGTCCCCCATTGGGCACTGCCGGGGAAACTGAAGCACGGGGGTGTGCCTCAAGCTGGGGGGACCCCGGCTGCCGTGGGCTGTCTCTGTAATGCTGAGCTACCCCCCCACCCCAAGCTCCTCGTCCTGTGCCTGCCCCTGCCCTTCTCTCCTCCCCGGCACTAGGTGTGTGAGGGGACACAGCTGGACCCGTCTTCCCCTGGTACTGCCCCATGCCAGGTCCCTCTCCCACCCACCTGCCCTCCAGGAGCCCTCATGTGGGACCTGGACCCCTGCAGCCCCCCTCCCCCTGCCCTAGGCTGGGGGCCACATCCCTTCAGGTGGTGCTGGCACCTCCAGCCTTCCTCCTCCCAGCTGTGCCATGGGTGCCGGAGCCCCCCAGCACTGCAGACGGGCCCCCGGGGGGTGCTCTGTGGCAGCTTGGGGGTTACAGCCCGGCTCCCCGCTCCTACCCACAGGCTCCTTCCCCCCCACCATGGCCGTGTTTGCCTTGGCACGGCTCAGCCAGGGCCGCAGCATCACACCTTCATTGCTCCTGGGCGCATGCCTGCTGCCTTGTGCCAATGGGCCCAGTGCCAGTCTGCTGCAAGTCGGGGCTTGACCCCGGTCTCCTGCTTCCCTCTGTGCTCCCGGGCTGGTTGTAGATGGGGCTCGGAGCTTGGTGCGGTGAAGAGCTGATCGCAGGGCTCTGGCCTATGGGGTCCCAACCTTTGCATGCCGGGGTGAAGCTCAGAGGCTCTTGTGGGGTGGGTCTTGGCTTCTTGCTCCCCTGCCCTGGCTGGTCTCTGCCCCCTGCTCCAAGCCAGCCGGGTCCCCGGGTCTCACCCTGCGCCAACCTGTGCCCCCTCCACCTTGGGCATCTCCACGGCACCCCTCCAGCAAAGGGCTCTGCTCAAAGCCCAGGCCTTTAGGAGCAGGCTGGCACCAGTGTCTGCCATGTGGGGTGATTGCATGAGGTGACTCCAGCGCCCGCCCGCCCCCTGAGCTCTGGCCACGGCCGTGAGTGACGTGCCACGTGGCTGAGCTTGTGCCACCGTGCACGCAGCACCGGCGGCTCCCTGCCCCATGCCCCTGGGCCCTGCAGGTGTGGACGGGGGCCCAGGGAATGACAGTAACCGTCTTGTCTCCAGCCTGGCGCGAGCCAAGCTCTTGTGCAATGGGCTCCAGCTGCCGGCCCCAGTCCCAGCTGCTGTGAAAGGGGGCAGGGGCCACATGGGTCTTCCACAGCTGCATCTAGGGCCACACACTGGGACAGACTGCCCTAATGCCCCCACCCCAGGCAGGTTCCTGCCTTAATGCCCCCCCTCCCATGCCCATGGCTGCAGGCCCCCTACCCTTGTCATCCTGCTCCTGGCAGCCCAGGCAGGCCGTAGAGCAGGGGGTGGACTCAATATGACCCCCCAACTTCTGCCCGCCCAGCTGCTCCCTGCCTCTGCCCCCCCACCTCATGCATCTCAGGACTGGGGCTGTGGCAGGGAGTCAAGCTCTCATGTCCAGGGTGGGGGATGCAGAGGGATGGTAGCCACCCGCCCTCCCCTCCCCTCACAGCGGTGCTGGGCCTGGAGTGGGGGACGGGACATCCTGTTGATGCTTCTGCAGAAATCCAGGGCCCTCGAGGGCTACCGTAATTCTTAGAGTAGAGCTGGCCTCAGCTGCTCCCGGCTGCTGGGTCGCTTGAGGACACCAGGCCCCAGAGCCCAAATCCCTGCTGGCTGCAGTTGAGTCAGCTGTGGTGGGGGGGCGGTCAGCAGAGGCCCAGCAGCAAGTTGGGCAAGTTCCTGGGGGCACATCCCCAGCTGCATCCGTCTGCCTCTGAAGTGGGGGGCACAGCTGGCACCATAGCAAGTGCCCACTGGAGGCAGAACCGTGGGGTGGGGTGAGGGGGGGTAACTGCCCAGCCCCAGCACACGTGTATGTACTAATGCACATGCAACCCGCCACCACGCATCCTTCAGCCAGATATGCCCCCCTTCACCACTTATACATACGCTCCAACGTAAACGTGTACTCACACCCACACGTGTGCATACACCCCTCCCCCCACGCACATGTATATACACATACACAAGTCCCCACAGCCACCCCCACCTATGCACGTACACCCTTCACACTCATGAACACCCCCCCACCCAACCATAGACGTGCAGCCCACCTATACACACCTATACATACCTGTACCTATACAAGCTCATCTATACCTATGCAACCTATACTCACACCTGTTCACCCCACCTACACACACCATGTCACCCTTATACCTACACATGTACATGTACACCTGTATGGGCACCCTGCCACACTCAGCCCCCCCACACACATACACAAACCTGTATACATGCGTGTGCACACATGCCCCCACAGTTTCTCTCCTCCATATATGCACACTGCCATACACATACATGCCCATATACCCCCCAACCCTGCACCCATGCACACCCACACCTGCACACACATTTCCTGCCACCCTCCAGGCTATGCTTAGACACCCCTGGACTTCACAGTGAGCCAGGGCTGTAAGCCATGTGCATAGTCAGGGTCTTCCCCCTTGCCCCCCAAGGAGCTGCAATGGGGTTGGGGCAGTGGGGTGAGGCCTGGGGGTATTGCCTCTGCAACCCGGGGTGGGCTCAGTCACCCAGCAACTGATGCAAGGAGATGCTGTGGTCTGACATGTTGGAGCTGCTTGGCTCTGCTCTATTACAGCAAATCCGGGGGTTACCCCTTGCGTCCAAGGGCAGATCTAAGATGCCGAAAACGGGGGTGCCAGGTCCCCAGGTCAAGGTGCCTGTTTCCCTCCATCACACCTAGTGTTTCTCCTGTGAAAAAGACACGACAAGCTGTGCTAAGGTACCAGCGACGTGACTCAGTCAAAGATCAAAGCAGCCCCAGATCTCACTATTGGAATGTGTTGTCATTTGCTAGACTACGTCTTGCGTACAAGACAATTAAACCACAATGAAGGAGGCAAAAAATAATCAAAACCTGGTGTTTCCAAAGAAACACCAGGTTTTGATTTTTTTTGATTTTTTTATTTTTTTTTTGACTCTGCAGTCATTAGGGTTCAAGGGGCCTCTCTTGGAAACAATAATTGAGCCTTCCTGAGCTTCTGGACAGGGCAGGTGATGCTTTGCTGAGAGATTTTCACCTGATTTTCACTTGTGTTTTTTTTAGCTAGAGTTAAAAATAGCAGGGCTGTGAAACAGGAGCCACAGGGCCAGGAGCAGCTCACAGGCAGAAGAAAGGATGGAAAATCAAGCCCCTGAAAAAAAAGAGAGGGGCGTTAACGCCTGTGGAGTGGAGAGATGAGCAGGGATCACAGAGACAAGGATGGGCCCCGCTCTGGTGGTGTCCAGACTTTGGTCCAGGGGTAGGAGCTGGCAGGTGGGCTGGAGTCTGGGACCCGTGGGGGGCTGGTGCCTGCCCTGGGCATGTCCTGTGCACAGTGGGGTGGAGACCCTGTCACGCTTGTGCCTCAGTGATGCTGCTCATGAATAGTGCTGGTTTGGGGGGCTTGGAGGCTGTTGCCTTGCAGGGCATGTTGCTCCATCTGTGCCCTCCCATACAGATGGGAAGGAATATTTTTCCACTTGTGTTACTACAGGTTTCAGGGGGTTTGAAGCCTTCCCCAGGGGTGCTGGGTGCTGCTGGGAATGGGGCTGGGCTGTGCCAATGCTCCTGCTGCACCAACCCTGGAGGGTCTTGCCCCCACGCTCAGCCACACACTGCACTGGGGCAGGAAGGGATCTCCCCCTTGCTCAGACTGGTTGCACTGGGGGGTTTCCCCTTCCTCTGCAGTGGGGGCACAGCCTGGGCCTGGGTCTCTGCAGTGCCCATGACACCCCTGACAGCAGCAGGATGTTGGTGGCCGCGGCCCCCCTGTATCCCAGGGCGGGGGCTGTGTCAGGGGTGACTGTGTCGTATGGCTCTGAGGTCGTGCATGGGGTTTGTCTGGGCTGGTTTGGATGGGGCTGATCTGGTGGGGTGCGACCCCACAGCTCCCTGCCGGCCCCACGGCTCTGGGACTCCATGTTTCCAGCTCGGGGTGCTCCGTGCAGGGTGCTAGAGCAGCTCAGACACCCCCGTGTGTCAGACAGGGCCGATCCTGCCTCGGGCAGGGGCTGAACTCAGCGCAAACCCCCGGTGCCAGCCCGGCTACCCTGCGACTCGGTGCCTGGTAGCAGCGGGATGCAAAGCTCACAGCTGAGATCTGCAACAGCTAGACCCTTTTGTGGGTCCAAGGCACTGGCTCAGAGAAGTTGCCTGGACCCAGCAGTTTGCAGTCTCTGTCCCAGACAACCTAGGGGGGGGTCCAATAAAAGATCTAGCCCATAAAGCTCCCTGACTCGGTGCCCCCCGGCCCTCCTCGACTCTCTTCCCCGGACCCGAGCACCTTGTTATATCAGGGCCTGTTTTCAACGGAGCTCCCCAGTGTCCCCTGACCCCCCAAGGGGACTTTGGCTCCCAGTTTATAACAAACACCAGCGTGGCATTGAAGTGGGGGCTCAGGCTCTCTCCCCGGCCACTTTGTCTGGTGCCCCACAGAGCCCGAGCCACGACGGGGGGTGACAAGGCACTTTATTCATTCAGGGGGGTACAAAAGGGGTATAGAAAATGTGGTGGTGGTGCCCATGGGCCACATTGCAGCTGGGCTGCCAGGGGGCATGGAGAAGTCTGAACTCCCGGTCCCAGCCGTGGCCTCGTCGGGTGGACGTGGACATGGAGATGCCCTTGTACCCACCCTGGCCCCAGGCTCGGGCAGGCAACAGGGGCTCCACGGGTGCTCCGGGAAGAGCTGCTTGTGTTGCCTGGGGTCCCTCGCCGGCGGGGTCCAGCAACGGGAACAGACCGGGGCTGAGAGACCGGGCAACGGGGCAGGAATTGGTGCCCTCCGTGCTGTGGGCATGAGGCATGGACCAGCCGTGCAAGGACCTGCCCTGCACCGGGCCAGGGGAGATGGCGGGGACCGGAGGGCAGGAGCCGCGGACATAAGTAGCTGCATCCAGGCGAGGGGCAGACATGGACCCCCATTGCTGGGGGCCGGGGGGCTCTGATCACCCCACGCGGGAGGCTGAGTTGGATGGTTGGGGTTTCGCCCTGACCTGGGGACCCCCGAGGTAGCTGCGTGGCGGGGGCGCTGATTCGGGCAGCGATAGTGTGGGCACTCGGGAGGCTGGGACGGTCACATCCTGGCTCACAAGGGACACCAAGGCTTCGGATGCCCACACATGGGAGAGGGTCAGGCTGATCTAAGCGGGGGCCGTATCAGACCAGGCCGTGGGGAATGGTAGGGAATCACTGAACCAGAAATCCTAGAGGTCACATCCAGTCCGACCCCAGGCCGTCTAGTCCATAGAGAACCCAGAGTCCTATGGGGCTGGCAGAGGAGCGGCGGGGTCACATCCCGTCCCAGCCCTGCCTGAGGCAGGAGCAGCCCCGTCCAAACCCCATGTCTGACCTTGGAGCTGCACGACAGTCGCCCCAACACAACCCCAGGTATCACCCCCGGGATACAGGGGGGCCGCGGACACCAATGTCCTGCTGCTGCCGGGGGGGTCATGGGCACTGCAGAGAGCCCAGGACAAGGCCATACCCCTGCTGCAGAGGAAGGGGAAACCCCCAGTGCGACCAGTCTGAGCAGGGGGTAATCCCTGCCCCGGTGCAGCGTGGGCGCAGGGGCAAGACCCTCCAGCCAGGACCTTGTGGGGTTGGTGCCAGCAGGAGCATTGGCACGGCCCAGCCCCAGCCTGGGCTGCAGCAGCACCCGTGGGTAGGAAAGCCCAGCAGCTGTGGCACGGAGGTTGGGGAGAAGAGGCCTGAAGCTAAAGAGGGGCTGGGGACCCCCAACAGAAGCCCTGGAACGAGTTACTTAGGTGGTGGCATCTCCATCCTTGGAGGTGCTGAAGACCCGGGTAGACCAAGCCTTGGCTGGGATGATGCAGTTGGGGCTGGTGCTGCTTGGAGCAGGGGGTTGGACTGGATGTGAGCTCCCTTCCCACCCTCGTCGTCTGATGCTGTGATTTCCTCTAGCATCCCAGAGGGTAAAGACCATCCTGCCCTGCCTGGGGCTCACCGAGTTGTTTGCAAACCGAACGGGAGGATTTTTCAATATGCAAAAACACCCATAAAAGATCAAACGCTATGAACTTGAAGTTTCCAAATGGGATCTGTAGTCTAACGAAGCAGCCTCGGGTCTAACGAGGAGTGCCTGGAGCCTGAACAGGCGGAGAACCACTGCTCTGGGCCAGGAGACGGAGGCATTCATGGGCATGGCAGAAACCCCCGCGGACCCCATGCTATCCCAGAAAGCCTCCCTCCCACCTCTTCTGGGAGACGGGGCCCAGTGCCAGAGGTGGGCGAGGGCTGCATGATGAGGTGCCACCCGCCTGGTTTGTGTGCGGCCTGGTGAAAGAGCAGCAGCGATGCTATGGGGGCTACGAGAGTCGGAGCAAGCAGGAGAAGGTGGAGGTAGCTCCGCGGGGAGGGGTCCAGGGGTGCTGGGGCCTGGGGGGCTGCAATGCTGGTGGGTGAGGCGCCCAGATCATTGGGGGCGTTCGATCTGGAGCCGGGGAGTGAAGAGGGACGTAGGGGCAGAGGACTGGCCTGTGCCGTGCGGGGCGTGAGTGATGGGGTCTGGACTGCCCCCCCGCAGGAAGGCATGGGGGGGAGGGGGGGGCTCTCAGACCAGCATTGTGCCAGGACCAGACCAGCCAGCCCTGGGGCCACAGCCTGCCCTGGGGTCCTGCACCCCACGGCCACCCCGCCCCCTCCGCCCCGGGCGCGTTGGAGCCTGGAGTGTCCCCCAAGAGCTGCTTTCTCTCTCTCAAGCCAGGGGAGTGGGGATAAATACAAAACGGGGGTGTCACGGAGCTCCCCCTGGCCCCTGCCTCGGCCCCACGGGGGAGCCCAGGGTCCGGGAGCTGCCCGTCACCCCGCGGGTCATGGGGGGCAGCACCTGGCCGTACAAAGACATAGGGAATAAATAAATACTGGGGGCAGGGCCAGCTGCCGACGCCTCCTCGACAGTCCGCTGGTCAAGCGGCACAGAGCAGCCCGCGGCGCCGGGGACGCGTAGGCCGTTGTCTGCTAAGGAGCAGGGCTCGGGTGGAGACGGGGGCGCCGGGTCGCGCGGTGCGGGCCCCGCTAGCAGCACCGCAGCTGGTCCAGGTGCTTGGTGATGCCGTGCAGGCTCTTGTGGAGACGGTCCAGCGCCACGGCGGCCGCGGAGTAGGGGGCCTCGGCCAGCAGGTCCGTGAGGTTGCCCAGGGCGGGGGCGGCGGGGGGTGCGCAGCCCAGGTGGGCGCCCAGCAGGCGCAGGAGGCTGCGCAGGTTCTCCATGTCGTTGGCCAGCTGCGCCCCGGGCACGGCGTCCAGGGGCAGCCCGGCCAGCACGCGCTGGAAGACCTGCAGCGTGGCGTCCATGGCCTCCAAGCTCTCCAGCGGCCGCTCGCCCGGCAGGAAGTCGAGGCCCGAGACCTTCAGGTTGACGGGCAGCAGCTGCAGGGGGAGGAAGGAGTCAGGGGCTGGCGGGGGACGCTGCCCCGTGCCGCTGCCCCTTGGCTTGGCACCGCAGCACTCCTGGGTCAGGCAGGGGCAGACGGGCTTGCCCATCTTCCTGGACAGGAGCAAGGGCAGCGGGCAATCGAGTTGCCTGCAGCTCAGCCCTGGTGCTAAGGGAGGCCAAACCTGGCCCCTCTTCCAGCAGCCCCTGCTGCGAGGCTCATCAGCAGGGGAGGGCAGGGGAAGGGGCAACATGAGGCACCTGCAGCTCCTGGATCCGGGCGATGAGCGTCCGCGTGAGGTTCTTGGCGTCCGCCTTGACCTTGTCGATCTTCACCGGGCGGCCGTAGAGGAGGGGCAGCCCCAGCCAGAGCAGCCCGCAGAGGGGCAGGCCGGGGCACCGCATGGTCTGCCCACGATTGTCTCGGCCCTGGCGGGTGGGGAGAGAAAGGGACCGGGCTCAGGGAGGCGCCGGGGCCCGCGGGGTTTGGGGGACCAGCCAAGACCCCCTTCTTGGCACCACCGTGGATCCCTGCTCCCCTTCTGGTACAGGGGATCCGGGCAGTTCACACCTCTGCCCGCCTCAGAGACCTGCCATGGCTCCTGTGTTTGAAGGGCATGCGTGCACCATGCTGGAGACCCTGGGCAGGGCATCCTGCGACTGCGAGGAGCCGGGAGTGGGTGCACCAGTACAGCTGAGCCGGGCATGGCAGGTGCTTGCACAGGGGGCCTGGTGCTGTGTCCCCTGCCAGGTCCCCAGTGCAAGCACCTGCCTCGGTATGGAGCTGCCTGATGGCTCGGGATGGGACCGGAGCAGGAGGGGAGCTCTCCTAGCACGAGGCACAGACCCGCTCGTCACTGCAAGGACGCGGAGGCTGCAGCCTGCTCCCCCGGGGCAGAGCGAAGGACCTGTGCTGGGGCTGCAGGGAGGCAGCTGGGAGCAGTGCCCCGATCTCCTGGGTCCCAGCCCCATGCCCGAACAGATGCCCCCTAGACCAGTGTCCTGGCCTGGCACTGCTCTCACCCTTAACCCCGCTCGAGGCCCTGCCATCGCATCACATGTCACGTGTTGCTCCATCCCGTGCGTGTCCCTGCCTCTCCTCTTTCCCGGCAGAGCTATTTATACCGGCTCGACAGTTGCGCCAAGCCTGTGTAGCCCGCTGGTGTGCTCGGGGCTGTACAGCCAGCTCCTGGCTCCCTGAAAGTCCCAAATCCGTGGGGCTGGCAGGGAGCTGTGGGGTCACATCCAGTCCAGGCCCCTGCCCGAGGCAGGACCAGCCCTGACAAACCCCGTGTCCGACCTTGGAGCTGCACAACACAGTCACCCCAACACAGCCTCAGGCATTGCCCCCACGCCCGGGATACAGCGGGGCTGCAGGCATCAACATCCTGCTGTTGCCAGCGGGGGTCATGGGGCACTGCGGAGAGCCCAGGACCAGGCCGTGCCCCTGCTGCAGAGGAAGGCAAAACCCCCCAGTGCAACCAGTCTGAGCAGGGGGAAATCCCTCCCTGCCCCAGTGCAGCGTGGGGCTGAGCCTGCGCACAGGGGCAAGACCCTCCTTATCCCCCTAGCACAGCCCGGTTGGGTCCGAACCCGCCCATGAGCCTGGGCCAGAGTGGAAGCAAAGCAGCTGGCAGGTCCGTGGGGTCCTCAGCCTCTGCCCACCTGGCTCCAGCCCTGCCCCAGGTGATGCCCAGCTCTTGGGGCCAAAGGTTGCCTAGGGCGTGGAGGCAAAGGATGCACTTGGCCCCTGGGGACCCTAACCCTAACCCTCTTTGCATGGCAGAGACAGCTGAAATCCCAGCCAGGGATGGCCTAGGGCTGTAGTGGGCTGGGAGCAGTGGGTGCAACAGGATGCGGCCGGGCTGGGGATGGACGCAACTGCCTGGCCTGACCCCGCCAGGGGCAGATCTGCTGCCGGACGGCCCCTGGGGACCACGGCTGCCTACGGGGCTGCTCGCAGGCCTGTCCTGGCTCTGCCAGCATGTGCCGCATGCATGTGCATGCACACGGACACAGCTATGCACTCATGCAAGCATACACAAGTACAGGTACACATGTGCATGCACTCAGACATGCCCACACATTCATGCACACATGTGCACACATGCCCCCACACATATGCAGATCTGCACATGCACACATACCTACTTACAGGGACAGGCATACATGCACACGCATGTGCACATGCACATACACCGGTACAGGCACATATGTACACATGCACACACAGGTATGCACGCACACAAATGAACACAGGTACAGGCACATATGCAACACACACGCATCCACACAAATATGCCTGTGCACAAATACATGCAAGCACACATACACAGGCATGTGCACAGACACCAATGCATACACCCAGGCTCACGTGAACACACACACATGCATACACAGATATGCACACATAGGTATGCCCCCACACAAATACACACAGGAACAGGCCGATGCATGCACACACACACAGATGCAAATGCACACATGCTCCTGCACACATGTGCATGTGCACACACCCCAGTTCAGCTGATAAGATCCTCCTTCACTCCCACTCCCGGCTGGGGCTGAGGCAGAGGGGTGCCCAGCTCTGCCCGTGGCCACCTGGGCTGGACCTAAGGCTGCACCCAGGTCCCGGGGCCTGGCCCGGAGGTGTCACCCCTGCCCCACCCCAGCAAAGCGGGGCAGGCCCAGGGGCCACCCAGTCCCCACGGGGAGTCAATCTGGAGTGAGTCAGATACCTGGGGGTGGATCTGGATTGAGGCCGGCCTGGAGTCTGGGCACTGGGCAGACGGGGTAGGGGGAAATAGGCAATGCCCATGTAGATGCCCCCAGCTCTGAGCAGAGTCACTCTGGTGCGTGGGGACGGGGAAAGGGCTTCATGCGGCCACATCAGAGCAGCCCAGAGGGGCCCGGGCATCACTTGGGACCCCCTCCCGCAAGCCTCACGGAGAGCTCACGGCACCAGCCCCTGTGGGGAAACTGAGGCACGGAGCATCACCGCGGAGGGGAGCATCCTACCCTCTCCCCCCACCACCCGAGCCCTCAGGCACCCGTCCCTGCTGGGGAAACTGAGGCACGGAGCATCACCGCGGAGAGGAGCATCCCCCCCCCACCCCGAAATCTCACAGCACCAGTCCCTGCTGGGGAAACTGAGGCAGGGGGCACCACTGTGTGTGTGGGGGTGGGGGGGAGAAGCCTTCATCCTTCACCTCCCCCCCGACCCCCCGAGAGCTCAGGCACCAGCCCCTGGTGGGGAAACCGAGGC